TGAACATTGGAGATCATTCTGTTTTTTTATGTATTTTTCAATTTCTTTATTAGTGTTTTATAATTTTCTTTATAAAGATCTTTTCAATCCTTGGTTAAATTTATCTGAAATTTTTCTCTCTCTCCATCTGGTAACTGTTAAGATTGTGATTGCTCGGATAGTTTCTCAGTGAGTTTATTATGGTGTGTAAAAATGCTACGGATTTTTATGTTTCTTTTATTTTCTGTGACTTTACTGAATTCAGTTTTCCTTTGTATGTCTCTTAGTATAGTGTTCATATTTCTCTCCCTTTTTTTTAAAGATTAGTTTATTTGTTTGAAAGTCAAATTTACAGAGAGAGAGAGAGAGAGAGTTAGGTACTCCATCTGCTGGTTCATTCTCCAAATTGCCACAATGACCAAGGCCAAAGCCAGGGCATAGGGGCTTTATCTGGGTCTCCCACATGAATGCAGGGGCCCAAGCACTTATGCCATCTTTTGTTGCTTTCTCTGGCAAAGTAGCAGGGTTTTGGATAGGAAATGGAGCAGTCAGGACTTGTCCTGGACCCCATATGAGATGCAGGCAGTGGTTCAACCTCTTTTGCCATAGAACTGGCCCCCACATTTATTTCTATACAGAATCATGTCATCTGCAAACAGGGATTTGATTTCCTCCTTTCCTATTTGTGTGCCATTTATTTCTGTCTCTTGCCTAATTTCTCTGGCTAAAACTTTCCAATGCAATATTAAATAAGGGTGGGGAGAATAGACATCCTTGTCTGGTTCTAAATCTTTTTTTTTTTTTTTACAGATTTATTTATTTATTTGAAAGTCAGATTTACACAGAGAGAGAAGGAGAGGCAGAGAGAGAGAGAGAGAGGTCTTCCATCCTCTGGTTCACTCCCCAGATGGCCGCAATGGCCAGAGCTGCGCTGATCCAAAGCTAAGAGCCAGGAGCTTCTTCCAGGTCTCCCTTGCGGATGCAGGGGCCCAAGCACTTGGGCCATCTTCTACTGCTTTCCCAGGCCATAGCAGAGAGCTGGATCAGAAGAGGAGCAGCTGGGACTAGAACCGGCACCCATATGGAATGCCCGTGCTTCAGGCCAGGGCGTTAACCCACTGCACCACAGCTCCCGGCCCCTGGTTCTAAATCTTAGAGGAAATGCTTTCAGCTTTCTCCCATTCAGTATGATGCTGACTTTGGATTTGTCATGCATAGCCTTTATTATGTTAAAGTATTTTATTGGAATTTTTATCGTGAATGAGTGTGTGATCTTTTAAATTGCATTTTTTTAGGGAAATATGAGTAGTTCAAAAACTCAAGAAAGAAAAAAATAAAATTCACTTGTAATTCAGCACTCAGGTGGCAACACTTAGTTGTTTTGTGACTTTGTTGTTGTTAAGTCTTTCCATTCTCTTTTTAAAAATGTTTGATGACTTCACGTATTGTAGATTGTTTTAGGAATATTCACATGATTTTTTAAATTTTCTGTATCAAATGTTAAAAATTCTGAATAGAAACTTTGAAGTTGACTAATGTTCTACTCAATAAAATTGCTCACTGAAAATATGCCTTGAATGCAGGATTTTGAAGAGAGGCTAATATGGTTATAATTGGGTGTACTTTAGCCAAGCAGTTCAGATTTTTCAAGTATGGGACTTAGGAAATTCAAAACTATGCTACAAAATCAAAATTGAATTTTAAAAGCAAAATAGTTTTTTAGGTTAAATCTTCTTTTGGTATGTGTGACTGTTGTAATGTAAATTTTCTCAGTATTCACAATCTAAAATTGTTCTTCGAAATTGTGGAGCATTCTCATCTGCATTCCTTAGGTGGAGAAAAATATTATAAGATGTATGCTTGAATAGGATTTGTTATTATCATACTGGTAATAATAATGCCATACTACTGAAGTACTTAACAGAATCACTGCTAGTACATAATTACTGAAAGCATATAAATTGCATAATCTATGTAGCTTGAAGTGGTAGAGAAAGTACCGTTTAATGATTTTGTTTACATCTCTCAGTTGCAGACTGTGTTCTTTCACTGTGTAACAGGCATTGGAAGAAGCATTGTACTATTCTTAAATGGCTAGGACCAGATACTTTTATACATTATGCATGATCTATGCAAAAAGACACTAAATTACTTTTTAAAACATAATTTGAAATCTTTTGAAAGCTAAATAATAACAATATTAAATGGTAACAGTTAAGCACTACTTTCTTAGAAGAATATGCTTTCCTTACCTTTAATAAGGAAATATTATTTTAGTATTCACAACATGTGGAGAACTATCATTGAGAGAAATCGTGTGTTTGACTTATGATTTGTTTATTTAACACTGTTATGCATCCATAGTTTATTTATTTAACACTATTTATTTATTTAATGCTAGCCTATCATTTGTTTATTTAACAGTATTTATTAAGCATCCAGAGTTTCCTAGGAAATTTATGAAGACCTGAAATCTTGAATTAGATAGTTTTGTTACAGATGATGACATACCAGTGAAGTGAAAGAAACATAGACAACAATGAGTAAATAAAGAAGACAAATAAGTAAAAAAACAAATCAACTAACTGTGGTTTATGAAATGAATCTGGTGTTACTGTAGAATGGACTCAGTAGTGTAGATTTCATCTCAGAAATTCCATTTGAATTGATATTTCCAAGATTTCCAAGATGAGTAAAAGCCAGCTACATGATCACCAGTGTTGCATGTAAACAAGTAAGTTTAGATACTTTGAAATGAAAATGCTCTTGGACAGCCCAATTTCATAGTGATTAATTTTCTTAATTATGGTTGGTATTATCTATCTTGACAAATGTTTTGTGGATAATGTTTTATGTGCTTTGTTGTTGTATGTTCTATAAATAACCATTGGGTACATTAGACATGTTGATAATCATTTTTTTCTGTGTATATGCACAGATTTTAAAATATTTTTATACTGGGGCCAGCGCTGTGGCTCATTTGGTTAACCCTCCGCCTGCAGAGCCAGCATCCCATGTGGGCACCAGGTTCTAGTCCCGGTTGCTCCTCTTCCAGTCCAGCTCTCTGCTGAGGCCCGGGAAGGCAAGTGCTTGGGCCCCTGCACCCATATGGGAGACCAGGAGGAAGCACTGGGCTCCTGGCTTTGGCTCGGAGTAGCTCCAGCCATAGTGGCCATTTTGGGAGTGAACCAATGGAAGGAAGACCTTTCTCTCTATCTCTCTCTTTCTCACTGTCTAACTCTATCTGTCAAATAAAAATAAAAAAGTATTATATATATTATATATATATATATCTCAACTTATATTTCAACTCCATTTTCACAAACTATTTGAAATGGCCTGGTATACATGGATACTTATTAGATTCTTTTGTCTAGTTGTTCAATCAAGGGAGGAACATGGAAGTCTCAAAGTATAAAAATGGAGTTGTCCATCTCTCTTTCAGTTCTATCAATTTTTTGCTTTATGTGATTTGAAGCTATCTTTTTTTATTATTATTATTTGACAGGTAGAGTTAGACAGTGAGGGAGAGAGACAGAGAGAAAGGCCTTCCTTCTGTTACTTACTCCCCAAATGGCCGCTACCACTGGCACTGCGCTGATCCGAAGCCAGAAGCCAGGTGCTTCTTCCTGATCTCCCATGCGGGTGCAGGGCCCAAGCACTTGGGCCATCCTCCACTGCCCTCCTGGGCCACAGCAGAGAGCTGGACTGGAAGAGAAGCAACCAGGACCAGAACCCGGCGCCCATATGGGATGCCAGTGCCGCAGGCAGAGGATTAACCAAGTGAGCCTTGGTGCAGGCCCTGAAGCTATCTTTTAAGATGCAGAAACATTTAGGATTATTATTATTTACTTGGCGTATTGACCATTTTGTTATTATATAATATATATCCCTATCTCTGATAAAAGTCTTTATTATGAAGTCTGCTTTCCTGTTTTTAATTTATAGCCACTCCAACTTTGGTACCATACCTGATTGTGTTATCCATTTACTTTTAATCTAGTTATGTCTAAAGTATGAGGACTTGGAAATGGACAAATAGGAGTCTTTTGTCTTACATCTTTTGTGAGAATCTCTGTGTTTTAATGGATAGTTTTGAATAGCTTATACTTAATTATCAATGTTTTGATTTTTCTATTTGTTTACTGGCATTTCTCTGTGTTTTCCATCCTTCTGTTTCCTCTCTCCCATTTTTTGAATTACTGAACTAACATTTTACCATTCCACATTAATATTTCTACTGATTTTTTAAAAAGGTATCACTATGTATAGTATTTTAGTGATTTCTGGATGTATCATGGAGATATGTAACTACATTTTTTACATTCTACTTATAATTAGAATATTACTTTTTTGAATGGTAAGCACAAAAGTTTATGGTATAGCTGCTTTTACTCTCCTCTTTAAGTTGGCATTCTTATATAATACAGGCACACATATTTAATAACCCATTAAAAATGTTATAAATTTGCTTTCATGTACCATGAGTATGTTAGAGAACAGAAGAGTGGAATAGTCTATTATGTTTAACAGATGTTTACTATTTCTCTTACTCTTCCTGAATTTCTGATGTTACAGGTTTCTTGCCAGTAGCAAATTCTCTTAATTTAGTCTCACCTGAGAATATCTTTATTTGACTTTTATTTCTTTTTTTTTCAACTTATATTTAATAAATATAAATTTCCAAAGTACAATTTTTGGATTATAGCAGCTTTTCCCACCATAACTTCCCTCCCACCCTCAACCATCCCATCTCCCACTCCCTCTCCCATCCCATTCTTCATCAAGGTTTGTTTTCAATTATCTTTATATACAGAAGATGCACTTAGTATATACTAAATAAAGATTTCAACAAACTGTACCCACAAAGACACACAAAGTATAGAGTACTGTTTGAGTAGTAGTTTTACCATTAATTCTCATAGTACAACATTAAGGACAGTGACTCCCATTGTTGATTTAACAATTGACACTCTTATTTATGACATCAGTAATCACCCAAGGCTCTTATCATGAGCTGCACCAAGGCTATGGAAGCCTCTTGAGTTCACCAACTTTGATCTTATTTAGGTAAGGCCATATTCAAAGTGGAAGTTCTCTCCTCCCTTCAGAGAAAGGTACCTCCTTCTTTGATGGCCTGTTCTTTATGCTGGGATCTCACTCATAGAGATATTTCATTTAGGACATTTTTTTTTCCACAGTGGCTTGGGTTTCCATGCCTGTGAAACTCTCATGGGCTTTTTAGCCAGATCTGAATGCCTTAAGGGCTGATTCTGAGGCCAGAGTGCTGTTTAGGACATCTGCCATTCTATGAGTCTGCTGTGTATCCTGCTTCCCATGTAGGATCATTCTCTCCTTTTTAATTCTATCAGTTAGTATTAGCAGACCTAGTCTTCTTTATGTGATCCCTTTGACACTTAATCCTATCATTATGATCAATTATGAACTTTTTAAACTGATCACTTTAACAAGTAAGATGGCACTGGTACATGCCACCTTGATGGGATTGAATTGGCATCCCCTGGCAACGTTTCTAGCTCTACCATTAGGGGTAAGTCTGATTGAGCATGTGCCAATCTGTACATCTCCTCCCTCTCTTATTCCCACTCTTATATTTAAGAGGGATATTTGAGTTTTATTTCTGGATAATATTTTCATTGCATGTAGAATTCTAAACATAGAATTTTCCATGTCAACTGCAGAATGTCCCTGTTCTTCTTGACAGCCATGGTTTCTGATATCAGACACTCATGGTCGGTATTCAACACAGTGCTTTCCACTTGTAACAATTTCTTGTCAGTATTCTGGATTTTTTGTTGTTATTGTTTTAATCTAGGAGTGAATTTTTCACTTGTCTTTTTGTTTAAGAGTTAAGCTAATATTCATCTGGTTTCTTATATACCAAATAGTTTTGAATTATATACTGGCCATTTTGAGTATTTTGTTATCAGACTTTCACTTTGAGTTGTCATAAGAAGGAAGCTGATTTAGTTCTTTCCTTTGGCATTTAGTCTGTTTAGGTTTATGGAACAAACTTTGTTCAGCTGCCTCAGATTATGGTTCCAATGTTGGTAAAAATCTCTGGTGTTTGTAGTTTTGTTCTTGTCAGTCTGTGTGTGCATTTTCTAGCATACTGTACTCCTACACAATAATTAAATTATAGCTTAATTTTCAAACCTCGATGTCTTATTTATGATCTGTCCCTCCTCAGAGGTTAGCCCATAAGCTTGTTAACAGGTAATGAGATTGACCACTCTCACCCTTGAATTCCCTCCTCTCTGCCACCTCCGTGACACTTCCTGGTTCCCTGGAGTCTCCTTTCCAGATCCTTTACTCTGAGATCCTGTGCTTTCATTTACCTGTTCTTGAACGCAATTCCTACCACTGAGTCTGCATTTAGAGTCGGATAGTAGGAGGCCAGCAAGAAAAGGAACTCACAGAGATCTTTACTGTGTTTTTTTTTAAGATTTATTTATTTATTTATTTGAAAGTCAGAGTTACACAGAGAGAGAAGGAGAGGCAGAGAGAGAGAGAGAGAGAGAGAGAGAGGTCTTCCATCCTCTGGTTCACTCCCCAGATGGCCACAACAGTTGGAGCTGTGCTAATCTGAAGCCAAGAGCCAGGAGCCTTCCCCGGGTTTCTCACACGGGTGCAGGGGCCCAAAGACTTGGGCCATCCTCTACTGCTTTCCCAGACCATAGCAGAGAACTAGATTGGAAGTGTGGCAGCCGAGACACAAACCGGCACTCATATGGGATGCCGGCAAGAAGGCGGTGGCCTCACCCGCTATGCCACAGCACCAGCCCCCACTATGTTTTCATATTCATTTCTTCTTGAGGAAGAAATTTTCCCTCAGAATTTTAGGTCTGAGGCCAGCGCCGTGGCTCACTTGGTTAATCCTCCGCCTGCGGCACTGGCATCCCATATGGGCGCCAGGTTCTGGTCCTGGTTGCTTCTCTTCCAGTCCAGTTCTCTGCTGTGGCCCGAGAAGGCAGTGGAGGATGGCCCAAGTGCTTGGGCCCCTGCACCGGCAAGGGAGACCGGGAAGAAGCACCTGGCTTCTGGCTTCGGATCAGCGCAGTGCCGGTCGTAGTGGCCATTTGGGGAGTGAACCAATGGAAGGAAAACCTTTCTCTCTGTCTCTCTCACTGTCTGTATCACCACCTGTCAAAAAAAAAAAAAAAAAAAAAAAGAATTTTAGGCCTACTGACTCATTTCAATTAATACTTCAGATGTAGAAATCTCTGGGGCCTAACATGTGTATGAGATTATGGAGAAGAGAAAGAAAAAGGTGGCAGGATTTCTCTGACTTGTTCTTCCTTTTAGGAATCTCCTTTTCTATCTCTTGGAACACTTGGAGGTCTTTCTGGTTTTATTCCATAGCAATTTTGTGCTACAATTGAGTTTAGGCTAGAGAATATAGGAGAGAAGAAAATTCTAAGTTCACCAATAGTATAGTGGTACACTGAACTCCAGTGTTGCCAGTTTACCTGCTACCATTATTGATTTAGGGTCATCATATCTGTATTCAATCTAAATACTATGTGTGCAATCAGTGGAATGAACTTTTATACTTGAAATTCATTTCCTTGACATGTTTGAAAAAGAGAATTTAAAAAGTTGACCAGAGAAGTGTTGTCTGTGGGCACTGAAGGAGGATGTAGTTGGAGATTACACACAGCAGCATTAAAAGTGGGAAATTGTTCAGATTTTATTCAAATAATGTTAGAAATCTCCAGTGGATTCTGTTCAGAGCATAGATATAATTTTTTTTTGACAGGCAGAGTGGACAATGAGAGAGAGAGACAGAGAGAAAGATCTTGCTTTGCCGTTGGTTCACCCTCCAATGGCTGCCGCGGCTGGCGCACGGCGCTGTTCCAATGGCAGGAGCCAGGTACTTATCCTGGTCTCCCATGGGGTGTAGGGCCCAAGGACTTGGGCCATCCTCCACTGCATTCCCGGGCCACAGCAGAGAGCTGGGCTGGAAGAGGGGCAACTGGGACAGAATCCAGCGCCCCGACCGGGACTAGAACCCGGTGTGCCTGCACCGCAAGGCGGAGGATTTGCCTAGTGAGCCGCGGCGCTGGCCAGCATAGATATAATTTTAAAGACATTTGTTTATGTGAAAGAGCTAGAGAGAGAGAGAGCAGAGAGAGAGAGAGAGAGAGAGAGAGGTCTTGCATCCTCTGGTTTATTCCTCAGATTGCCTCAATGGTCAGGGCTGGGCCAGGCCAAAGCCAGAAGCCCAGACTTCCTCCAGATCTCCTACATGGGTGACTGGGCCCAAACACTGGACAATCTGCTGCTGCTTTTGCCCAGACCATTAGCAGGGAGCTGGATCAGAAGTGGGGCAGACGGGATACAAATTTGTACCACTATGGGATTTTGGTGTCATGGGCAATTTTAGAGATAGAATCAAAATATTTTGCTAATGGATTACATATAGAGAATGAGGAAAGGTAAGAGATAAAGATGATGCTGACATTTTTGGCTTGGATAATTGGACGTGTTACAATGACATTTACTGATTTGGGAAAAGGCAAAGCATGGGGCTAAATATAGAGGATTATTTTTCCTTTGGATGCACACACACCTGTTAGACATCTAAGTGGAGATGTCAGAATTGGCAGTTGGATATACTTTATCCCATTATCACAGTTTCTACTGATGTTAAGCTATCTTGTGTATATTTAACATAGATTTTAAAAACAAGCAAAAACAGAACAAACACATCCAACATCTCTTTTTAATTATATGCAGAAAGCACTCAAATATATTTCTTAAAATTATTCATGATGACTCAATAATACCATGTTTCTGTGTGTGAAAATCATCCTCTGTTTTCTTTGGTTTTAGGAATATATTTGTGACTTGTTTGGAAGTCTTTCAGGAACAAGTCCAAACTGCTTAAATTTCATTATATTTTGTTATGGATGTAAAATATTATAGATTTCTTTGTTACTTTTAAACCAGAATATAGTATGATGCAGTGTATTTAATTAATGTATTTAATTTAATGTATTTAATGCCTGAGATCCTCAACCTAGAAAAACACCTTTCAAACTTTTAACAGCTCCAAGTGTTTTGTTCTCAGTCCATGTCACCTTGATATCTCTCTGTCTGCAGAGGAGGAATTTAGGATCCATCATCCACCATTTGGCTTTCTAGTCTCGAATGAGTAACCTCTTTAGAAATTCACTTAATGAAAAGCACCTACTGCCTTATGGATCTTTTTATCATCTAGAATTCAGAACTTGAAGATCACCTGAGTTTTGTATTTCTAATTGTTGAAAAATCTTTCAACTCCTCCTGACATCAGATTTATTAGCCTAATTACACAATGCACGTGTATACTTACACATATTGTGCATACCCATGCACGTATACACATACTCAATGTAATGAGTGATATTGGAGGGTATTGTGCTTTCTGCATTCTGTCTGTATCTCTCAGGAGGTGAGATGTAGCAGGAGCCATGTTTCTCCAAGAAAATTAGAGACAGCAACAGAATGGTATCTAATTAAAATGTTTGCAGCATTTCCTATGAGATATAAGTCACTGACATTTTCTAGACTACATGCCAAGAAATGCTTAAGATTATACAGATGTACTATAATTGCCATGCAAGGAAAACTTAGCTTAGACACAGTTCAGGAAATACAGATTTGGTAACCTTTCTTTAGAACTCAGAAATTAAAGGTTAAGCCCAATGAGAATCGAAGGTGAGTTGAGCAACTCTTCTCTTCTCACGTAAATCAAGAATCTGTTTTCTCTGTTATACTGGCCTTCTTCCTCTAGAATTGTCTCTTTCTTCTGTATCTATTTCTCTGCAAACTGTAGTTGCTTTACTTTGTCTCCTTTCCTCTCCTAGCTGCTCTTATCTCTGTCTGCACAAGTCTACTTACTCTTCCCTGTAACTCACAAGGCATTCTTGTCCTCAGTAACTCTTAGCTACCTTGATCCTTTATTTCCCATATTACTCATTCATGCATTCAAAAAAAATAAATGTTTAATGGGTAACTATAAGGAAGGGATAAAGATGATGCTAACATTTTTGGCTTGAATAATT